TATGCTTGCCCTGGAGAAGGCCAGCGGTGAGAACTTGGAGGGGATATTGCTGCCATTCGGTGGCTTTTGACTGGTAAAGGCCATTTTGAATGGCTGCTACTGTAGCGCAGACCATGCTTCAAAATTGGTCATAAATCAAAAATGCTTGCGTCAAGCTAACTGCGACACAATGCTGCGGGGGGTTAACCAGCCCTTTAGTCTCCAGTTGGAAGCTTGGACTTTCACTGCCTTGCTCAGGGGAACTGGAATCAGACCCACAACTGTTGCTAGAACAACTGTTCTTCCCAAGGTGCCAAAGCCAGTGAACAGAACCATAATCATCCCTATATGGCTGCGATCCCGTGTAGGACAGACCCAGCAGCAGATTGCTCCAGGAAATTAGCAACGCCTCTGTTAGCGTCTCTGTGTGCAAAGCAACAGTTTGACTTTGTGCAGAAAGTACTGATGTGGATTAAAGCTAAATATTCACATCATCCATGCATTGTTATTGTTGCCCATATAGAAGAGATTCAGGACTCCTTTAACCAGACCAAGTCCCTGCCTCCTACAGGTCTCTTTCTTCTAGTCCTTTATATCCAGCTGATCAAGGTCTGTTTCACCCAGAAATTCATTTTAAATAAAGAATTTCTCTTTTATAAAGAGCTTTTAATGTGTTTTAGGGCAGCAGGAAGTTAAAGTGTCGTCTTTTCCATCCATCACTCATCCAAGTTTACTAATTCCTGCTAACGACGGCCTTGGTTCTCCAAAAATGAAAAAACTCACAAATAAAAAAGCAGATGTGTGTTTAGAAAGAACAGAGCCGATGAGATCAGCGGCGTTAGAGTAAAACCTGAGAGCGAAGCGAGGCCTTGAAGCTCCAGAAGCTTCCAGCCTCGCCGTGGAGGGTTGGCTTTAACCATCTCATGGTGATTGCCCCGCGCCTTTCATCCTGGACATTTTTAATTCACAGACAGACTCAGAGAGCCTGTAATCTGCGGAGCCCCCACCACTCCCACCCCAGAAAACACTCATTATTTACAATTAAGCCGGGGGAGGATAAAAGGCCGGGTGATTCACTCCTCAACATGCCGCATTACCCACTCTTCCACTGTTGTTTTGCAAAAGGAAAACAGTTTTTAGGACAAGATGTTCCTGTTTCCTCCAGCCTCTCTAATTCCCTGCCTTTCCCCCCCCCCAGATGTATCAGTCCAGTCCTGGCGGTCAGTCATCGTGTAGCAGCGAACCATCACCGCTTGGCACCAACAATGACAGTGGAGTAGAAACGGCGGCGCACAGCGGGGGAAGCCTGGGGGACCTCAGCACCCTGGACGACCTGCCGTTCGTGGACTCGCTGGGATTCGAGGACTCCTCCGGTGGGGGTGCAGCGGTGGGCCTCCATCTAAGAAAGCAGCTGAGCACCAGCCAGTGCCTGGAGAACCTGAAGAAGGAGAAACTGAAGACTGTGAGGGACTCGTGTCGGTGGGCCAGCAACCCAACGCCCGCTGGCCATCGGGGCGTTACGCTGCCGCCCATACCGACCAGCGGTGAGTTTGGAGATGCGGCAGAGGCTCTTACCTTTTGTACATTATGATGTAATCGATCAACCAACCAATCATAAGAAAGATAAAACACCAGCTAAATTATCCCATTTTCCCAGAGCCAAATGTTCAACTTTCTAGCCAAACTAGTTCTAAATTAACTCTTTGACACGAACGATTGGTACACCATCAGTAATGGGTCATTTCTCTGTCTGCCCACAGGGTCCCTGGTGGAAAGTTCGACCATGTGTGAGGATCCCGCTTCCTTCCCGGGCTCTGGCTTAGGTCTGCTGAGCTCTGACAAGATAACCCTGTTGGCAAACCTCTCCGAGCGCCGTGACAGCACCTCCAGCACCCTGAGCTCAGTCTACACGCTCAGCCGGCGGTCCTCGGGCATCTCCCCGGGTTTCTCCAGTAGACGCTCCAGCCAGACGTCTCAGTTTGGCGCCAACCGCCTGACAAACATCAGCTCGGCCGGCTCCTATGACCCCATCTCTGCGGATATTTCTCGCCGTTCCAGTCAGACCAGCCAGTTTGGGGGGAATGGCTGCGGCCCCGGCGGGGGTGGGCTTGGCCTACCCGGTCCCCTCAGCCTGACCCCAGCCCAGCACTACAGACTAAAGGCAAAGTACGCTGCTGCAACTGGAGGCGCTCCTCCTACACCGCTTCCATACTTGGATCAATCATGTCAGGATTTCACTGAACACTCGTCCAAAAACAGCATGAGATCCGCTCAGTTCAACCAGGAACGAAGCATTTTCCCCCACGAAGTTCCGTCCCACGTCCCCCGACGAGCCAGTGAACCTGTGAGACCTTTAGATCCGCTCAGCCAGCCGCAGATGCAGCGGTACAACAGCATGGTCACCCTAAACAGAAGGGTGTCCCTGCAGCCCCATCCTCCACCCGATCGCAGACGCTCATCGCAGCAGGGATGCGTCCAAACAGGCGGCAGTCACTGCTACCCCTACAGCCAACGGCCGCCGAGCATCTCAGAGAATATCACCACAGAAACACGAAGCTGCAGAGGAAACTCATCCGGGCTGGAAGGTGTCCAAGGAGCTCCAAGCGCACAGCAGCTGTACCGCCAGAGCGGGATGGACGGTCTGAACCCGAGCCCAGGACGGCACCGACACATGGGTTCATCCTCTCCCCACAGCGGCGCTGCTAATCCACAGTGGAACAGGTTTTCCTCAGGACTCACGGGGGCCGCTCAGCAGTACTGCAGACTAGAAGGACATGGGAATCTAGCTGTGGTCCAGCAGAGCCAGAATGTTGGACCGTACAGTGTGACCTCCAACCAACAGATGGTCCAAACCTTGTCCAACAGAGGCGTCCAGCTCAGCTCTGAAGCAGGACCGGTCCTCCTCCAGCAATCTAACCTCAATGAACCTGCCAGCTGTCGGTTTGGGTTCAGCCCAGGTTCCTACGACAGGAACGGTAACCTCCCGTTCTCGCCCTGCGGCACCATGGCGCTGCACTGCAAGGAGGAGCCCAACGACGTGGAGCTCTGCCGGTTCCAGCCAGTCCAGATAAAAATGGAGAGCAGTGACGCTTCGGCTGTGATGTTGGACCAGCAGAACTGTAACACCAGGAGCCAGAATGGCTTCCAACCGGGGATTCAGAACCACCTCCAGCGAAGACCACCAGCAGAACCAAAGTCTCCAAACCTGTCCCGCCCAACTCTGGTGCCGTCAGATGATTCCCAACTAGCCAAAGCTTCAGGACTTCCTTACAATTCCGATGACAATGCTCTGTTCTACAGGGGCCAGATCCAAGTCCTGGAGCCCAACGGGAACCTGGACTGCCAGGTGTCCCTGTCGGTCGGCTCGCCTTCAGCGGCTCCAGGCTCAGCAGACAACCAGGCAGACAGGACAGTCGCCGTGGAGCACGCTCAGATAGACTTTGATAGCATGCTTGATGACGGGGATCACTCCAGCCTGATGTCAGGAAACCTGAGTCCAGGGTTGCTGCTGGGCTTTTCGCCGGGTTCCTCCCGCCTGACCACGCCCAGGAACTCTGTGACGCTACCCTCGGTTCCGGCAGGAACAGGGAACATGGCCATCGGGGACATGAGCTCACTGCTGACGGCGCTGGCAGAGGAAAACAAGTTCCTCAACCTGATCGCTTAAGCAACATCAACCATCTGGGTGTAACATTCATTACTGTTCGTAAAGCCATACTTCTGTTTGCCTTAGGGTGTGAAAAGCTGCCGCTGAGCCGTCCTGGATAAGATCTAACTAAGTGCCTGTTGGTGGAAATCAGCCGGTGTGTCGGTGTTTGGACTGCGGCTCAGACAGGGACACGTCCAGGATCTGTAGCGTTTTCATAGATAAACGGTGACAGCTTGGCGCCGAAGGCCGGATCTGTGACTGGAATTAGAAAGCGGCGCCTCACAGCAGAGGATCTGAATATTATTATCTCACCAAACTCGACTCCTTCTCTTGTATATTGTCCTGGTTTCTTTGTAAATAGAATTTGTACATTTTTAATAAACAAGAATTATGGATTTTTTAAAAAGCTTTAGTCCTGCTTCTTTTCTTCGCAGCAGTTTCCAGATGTTCTGTGGTCTATAGAGGAAGCCTCCAGCTGGTGCTCCGCCCCCTCCTGATGCATCAGAAGCTCCACTGTTTTATAGTTTTAGATTCATGAGATGCATCTAATCCAAGGATTCAGCAGAAAGGTTTCTCAAAAATCAAAGATAAAGACAGTAACGGGGAACTAAAATAAAAACAAAGTGCACGCCTTGACCCATCGGGGTACGAAGCAGCTCATTGGACGAACGTTCTCCCAGAACCGGTTCTTCGGTTCACTGAGGCCTGCAGACATTTGGTCAGACCACAGCATAGTGAGGGGGAGGTCTTTTCTTTGACTAGGCCCTT